AAAAGGAATAGAAAGAACTAAGAGCTCTAAAAAAAAACAGAAAAAACTAAGAGGCAGAGTTGATTAAATGTGGACTACTTAGTACAGTGATCATGTGGTGGTGGTGGTGGTAATTGTGGCTGAAATAGCAAAAAGGGGATGCGTTGATGAGGTTAGAGAAAGCCTAGTCCATTCCTCTTGTAAATTCTGCTCAGATGCACCCTCCTAGAATATTTGTATTAATTTATTCTGAAGGTGCTGGGACTGTGGTGCCTCCAGCCCTATGCGTCCTCAGTCTCTGAGGAGCAACCAGGACTTGAAGTCCTAAGCCCTAGGTTTAAGTTCTGGCTGAGCCACTCAATGCCCACGTGACCTTGGACAAATCACTGAGCCTCTCTGCACAGCACCTGTGCAGTGAGTGTAACTCCTCCCTCATGGATTTGGTTGCGAATTATGTATCTGCTAACGCATTTTGTTCATAAAAAAGCTTTTCGTGAATGTCCCACATTTATTCTTGGAGAAGCCCTACCCTGAACGTTGTCAAATAGGACAGCTGTGGATTAAACTGGATTCCTTTTTTCTGTACTCAGCTCAGCCTTTCTCTTTGGTCAGGCCTGCTTACAGGGGCTGGTGGTACTGACATAAAGTCAGCAGATTTTGGCTCCTTTGGTCAAAGAAAGGGAACTCCCGTGTCCAGCTGTTCCATCCATAAACTCAGGCAGAGTGGAAGTGAGCAAAGGCAAATTTTAAGCCAAGATAGTTCAGAGTTAGCGGGGCAAGGAGGGAATGCTTGCCTTTCTTTCTCAAATCCAGGTTGACTAGAACATCTTAAGTAAAGCAGGAATAGGCATAAAGATGCTGAGAGATCATTTAAGTCATGAAAGGGAAGTAGGAAAATGTGCTTATAAACACTCCCTCTCTTCTATCCCTTTGTGGGGTCAGGGGCAGGATACTACTGACACCCCACTATTGCCTGAAACCTGCCAGTTACCCAGAGAGAAGAACGCTTGGGAAATTTCAGTTCGTGAAGCAGTAACTGTGACATATTTGCCCTAGGAAAGCTACTGCTTGCTCCTCTCCAATACCTCTCTTGGGGAGATTGTCTCTGGAAAGCCAAAGCTGTCCCGCTTTCTAACCTAACAAGAGTTAAAAACAACAACAGGTCCTGAGAGGTAGGACCTGCCCACGGCACATAGGCCACCAATCCTGCTGTCTCCAGAGTGAATCAGCCCCGAGGAGTCTCTGACCCTTTGCTTGGGTGATAATTGTCCATTGTTGATCCCTTTCTGCCTCCTTCCCCTGCCACTCCCAGTGGACAGCCAGTCCTCAAACCAAACAGCTGCTTGCATGTTAACAATGTGACTTTTAAATATTGCTTGGTTATCGCTTACCCTCTGTTGTTGGTATGATTTTTAAAGGATTTGATTGAAGTCTAGTTGCTTTCTTTCTTTTTTTTTTTTTTTTTTACTGTTGGGGAGAGGGAGGATGACTAGAATGAGAAAAACTGTGTATGTCCACATACGTTTATGTGTGTCCGTATATGTGCACTTCAGTGTGTGTGTATCCTCACAGTTGTGTACAGATGGGGAGGGCAAAGTGTGAAAAGGAAGCATCTCTAGTTTTCCAACACTGCTTCAAAGATGCCCAACCCCCATAGTAGCAAGCAATTCCTAAGTGGAGGGTGGGGGCAGAGGCCTCCACCAAGGCCATCAATAACCAGGTGTGAGCTATAGGTCTCTGTGTAATGCAAAGCTCTCCCGTATTTCATTTCTGCACCCAGGGGGCGGCTCTGCAGGATTGCTTACGGAGAGCTCTGTGTCTGGCACCTCTCTCCACAAGGCCCAGGCGCCCAGGGTCCCACCAACCTGCCCAGGAATGCATCACATTGTTCTCTGGTGCTGTAATTTGGCTGCAGGAGCGAGGCCGACAGCCTCCCGGGGATGAGAAATATGTCCTCCTTTGGTCTTCTGCCCTGTGACCACTGAGGGCATTGAAATAAAAACTCGGAAAGGCGGAGGGGAAAAATTCTAATTATCTCTCTTATATTAAGCCAATGTTCTAAGTGGGTCTGAGAATTTGGCAAGGGCTTAGCGGTTGGTGTTCTTGCTGAGGGAGGTGAGAGAAAGGGGAAGAAATTACTCTCTGCAAAAGGGAGGAGGAGAAATGAGGCTGTGAGTGGTCATGAGTCAGACCTACAAGGCTTTCTGCAAACAGACCCTCAAGGCCAGGCAATGTTTGATTCTTTAAAATAATCTCAAGTCCCTGGGTGCATTTTTCCAGCATCACTCTAAGGAAGAGTATGGATTAGTGCTGTTAATCCAGGTTGGCAATGATGACACGGGTTGGCTTTTACCTTCAGGGTGCAGTTAAGGCTGGCATCCTTACTTTTACATAAGAGAACCTGGCTACACATTGTACAGCTGAGATTCTTCAGTCACATGCCTTCTCTAAAAGATTCTAAGATCCTTGCCCTGCCTGGTGTGGCTCAGTGGATTGAGTGCTGGCCTGCGAACCAAAGGGCTGTTCCATTTTCAGTCGGAGCACATGCCTGGGTTGTGGGCCGGATCCTCAGTGGGGAGCATGCAGGAGGCAATCACACATTGATATTTCTCTCTCTCTCTTTCTCTCTCCCTTCCCCACTCTCTAAAACATAAATAAAATCTAAAAAAAGAGAAAAAAGAAAAAAAAAGCTTCCAAGATCCTTAAAGGATAATGTCTCTTCAGTTAACTTTGTATCCAAATAGCACTTTCTGCCTGCATCATACCTAAACATTAGAAGTTAAAAGAAAAGAGAACCCATAGGAAGGACTGGAAGAGAGGAGAGGGGCTAAGAGACTGCTGGTGTGAGGGACAGACCTCTGTTGCATAGGGGAAGGTGGCGGGAGGGTGCTATTAAAGGCAGTGAGTGAGTAGCAGCAGAACTAAGTGGAGCCCTGACTACACCAAAGGAAGTTCTCATTTTGCTGCTTGTTCCAAATAAATTAGTTTCTGTTTGTATAGCACAGAATGGACGCCAGTTGTCTAAAGCCAATCGGAATGCAGAAGCAAGCTGAGGAGTAAGAGGAAAAATTAATTGCTTGGCTGTCATTCCTTCTTGGAGCCACATAACCTCTGCAGTGGGGCTCACATGGACCTCTTGTCTCTCCCTGTCCACCTCACTCTTCAAACTTCTTGCTTTCTGGACAGCTCACTCGTGTCTCAACCAGTCATAGGAAAACACAAAACTTGGGTCTTTATGGATTAGAATTGGGAGCCCAGAGAAAAGCCCAGAGCAGTATTAGATGCCAGAAGAGGCCGGCTTCCTTCCCCGAGGGAAGAACCGAAAAAGGACGGACACGAGAGCACAGGTAGATTAAACTCAGGTTGATTTCCCGTGGGAAACCATTCTTGCTGCAGCGGGGTGATGTCCTTGTGAGAGCAGGGCTTAGCTGGGACCCGAGGCTCGCCCAGGGACCCGGCACACGAGATGGCACCCTCCCGTAAGTTCGGTTAACTCTATTCCTGAGTTCACACCGACTCCAACCCTCTCACCTTCCCACTACCCTAGGACTTTCCTCCTCTTAATCCCAGCTCTAGATGTCAGAAGCTCTTCTCTTCCCCTCCAGTCTCCCCCTCCCTAATCCCACCATTGGCTCATCAGTTATCCAGTTGACTCCACTCCGCGAGGAAGACATTCCCCTGGCCTGACTCACTCCGTCCTATTTCTCCACAGGAATCCCCTCACCGCAGACCACAAGGGCCCTGACTAGCTCATGTTTTGTGTTAATGGATGTGAAATCGGAGCAAACCCCCTCGCCAAAAGAAAAACCACCCCAAACTCTCCCACACAGGTCTCAGCAGGTTACACAAATATTAGTCCTATCATCCAAATAAATCTGCCCCCATGGCCCAGAGCTATGGCTCCCTTCTGCTGCCTGTGCAGAGTGAAGCTGTTCCACAAACATGCAAGGACCCCAAGGGATGTTGGAGAGGAACTGGGGAAGGGGGGCATGGCTGTATTCAGAATTCCTTGTGTAGGCTCCTTAATCCACAGCCTGCTGTCAATACTTTATTGTTCTGAAGTAAGTCTTGATGGGCTAGACCAGTTAAGGGGCTTTGGTAAGAGTGTCTGTTGGCTGGAGTTTGAGGCATAATTAAAACTTAGTATCTAAGATAGTTTCATACTGTCATTTTATAGATGAGAAGATAGTGGCTCAGAGAATTTGAGTATCTTGCTTCAAAATATCAAAAACAGCTGTGATTCCAACCCATGTCTGTTATAACTGCAAATTTCTACACTACTCCGCTCCTTTAAAATGTCAGCAGGCAAGAGATAAATAATCACTGTTCAAATCACATAAAAATAGGACATCACAGTGTCATACCCTCTCACTGACTATCTGCTATCTCTGGAGACTCGGTGACTGCAAGCTTAGCTAGGCAGTGGGTAGTAGCCTAGAAGGAACTCCCTATTGAAGCCAAACACAGAATGAACAACGATGATCACCAGGACTGGGAGAGTCACTGACTGAACAAAGATTTGTTGAATAAATGGGGAAAGGCTGCTTTCTAAGCCGTTTACCACTTTGGCCCCAAGGCCCTGCTCTCTTTCCCTCTACAGTCACTGGGTCCCGCTCCCAGCCTCAAAGGTGAGGATCCTCTCCTGCAAACTGCCAGAGCAAGAGCTCTCTGCCCGCCTGCTGTGCACTGGTGCCTCGGGTGGGCCCTTGAGATCAGGACTGCTCCCCTCTCCCACCTCCACACGTCGTGCATCTTGTTCTCCGTATTCCCTCAACCTGCTGACCACCAGAGGAATGCATGGAAATGCAGTAGAGTTTAAATGCATGGAGAGTTTAAAAAATAAAATTCCAAGGCCTAGACAGACTTACTACATCTGCTTCCTCAGGATGTTCTGGGTATTCTAATGATCTGGCAGGCATGGGTACCATGGCATGCCCTCACTTTGACCAGGCAGCCAGTGAGCAAAAGGGCCAGTGCTGTCTGATACAGACTGAAAAGGGGGGAGAGATCGGAAGAGAATGTATGTTTGTATAGTTATATAATTTTTTCCCTTAACAAAACACAGCAGTTGATAAACATATGAGCATATGAATGGAACCTTGTCCACTGTGGCTAACTCTCATCTAACTCTCAATAATGGACGAATGTTGTAGCCTAAGAGTTTCTTTTGGGGTACACGGAAGTCTGCTCAAACTGACCCAGGGAAGAGATAATGTGGTTTCATCTCTGTCCCATCCACTCTCAGCCAGGTGGGAATGAAAGGAAGCTCTCTCCAGGTATCCTTCCTCATGCACACACACGAGTGTCAGGAAGCCAGCGCAGGGGAAGAGAAACATGAGCCTTGACTGTGTGCTTTAGTGCAACTCATTTGCTCTGAAGATCGCTTCTGACCTCCAGAGCAGGCAGTCAGAGAGCTGCTTGGTTTCTCACATTCCCTGTCAACTCCTTCCCAGGGCTCGGGAACCAGCCAGGACACCAGAGTCCCTCCGGATTATGCTCCAAGTCCTTAAATAGAAGCTATAGCATCCCAGGGTTGAGGGTGGAGGAAGGTGTGCATGCAAAGATCTTGTGCTTTCGAGTCAGGAGGTTTGAAGTGGAGGGATGAGTGAGGTATTTATATGTTCAGGTCTGGTCCAGCCACTCTGCCTTCTTGGGGGCCTTGCAGGTGTGGACGTCCACAGTGTTTCTGCACTCCTTGCACCGCACAGCACAGCACCAGTGGAATTTGCACTCACACTGGGTGACCCGGGTGACTCGAGTTGTGTCGTAGCCTCGGCCACAGCACATGATTTCACAACCGTCTGTCCCTTTCGATGTCTTGCTGCAGACACGGCCTGCAGTGCCCAGGGAACCTGGGTTGGGGAAGAGAGACAGTGAGAACCAAGTTGGCGCTTATTCACTCCAGCTGCTCTGAGTTCCCTTACCTGCATGCTTACCAGGAAACCCTGAAGAATCTCTTCTCCTGAAAACACCCCACTGGCCGGCCTGATCATCCCCTCCCGGCCCTCCACCCTAGGCCAGTTTCCTCCCACCGCAGGGACTGCCCGGAGACCACTGGCTTCACCAGCAGTGCCCTCCCTGCCAACGCACACTCCTAGACCTCTTCAAAACTTGGCCTTGAGGCATGTGTCATTGTCAAAGCCAGGTGAAGACTCTCTAATGTGTGTTTGAATTTTTCTGTAATAAGAAGTTTTAAAAATAGCCTATCATGTATCTTTTCCAGAAAGTCCTGCCACAACTCTGATCCAGCTACCACTTGTTGGCATTTTGGTCCTTCGTTTATATCTTTAAGTTGCACTGCACAGGAAAGTAGTGTAGTATGGCTGTGAAAAGCATGCGCCTGGTGTCAGAGTGTTTAAGTTTAAATCCCACGCTCGCCACTTTTCAGCTATGTGATTTGCAAGTCAGTTCATCCCTCTGGTCTTTAGTTTTCTCATATGAAAATAGGCATAATAATAGCATCTAACTCAGTGGACTGTTGTGTGATCTCTACAATCTCTATTCAAACCAGGAGGTGAACTGAGTATCTTGACACGGGGGAGGCATACCCCTAAGGAACTCCTGACGAATATCCCTTGCCTTACCCTGGCAGTGGGGACTCTTGAAGGGCAGGGGTGGTGTTTCTCCATGCACAGAAAATGCTCAGGACCTCATCCTGCCTGATTCTGGCAAAGGAGATCCTGACAACAGATCATAAAATGATAGAATTTTGGACGGGATGGATCCTAGACAGTATCTCCTCAACCCTCTCCCAGAGATGGGAAAGTGGCTAGCCTGGGAGTTCAAGGGGGGAGTAAATTAACTGACTTCTATAGCAGGAGTCTGCATATCCTACTGGGATACGGGAGGAAAATGCTAGAGCTTCTGTATTTGTGTTCTTTACTCTATCGATTTAAATATACCTATTCTGTATTGTGTTTTTTAAAAAATATTTTATTTATTTATTTTTAAAGAGGGGAAGGGAAGGAGAAAGAGAGGGAGACAAACATCAATGCGTGGTTGCCTCTCATGTACCCCCTACTGGGGACCTGGCCCAAAACCCAGGTAATGTGCCCTGATTAGGAACTGAACCCGCAACACTTTGGTTCGCAGGCTGGCACTCAATCCGCTGAGCCATACCAGCCAGGGCTATTGTGTTTTATAATGTACATATTAGTACAGCAGAACCTAGATATAATTCATAAGTGAATATACACATATGAGAGGTGCATGCTCAAATTTTTTCAATGATAGGAAGGTACAAGTTACAATGTCAGAAGACCACTGCTGCAGGGTGTGGCCGACTAGGTCTTCTATGTGTACTGTTCTCCTAACTGCAGGAGTTGGGTCTTAAGTCCTTCCTGTGCATGAGAAGTCTCTTCCACCCTCCGGAGCTGAGACATCCAGTGTAGTAGCCACTGACCAAATAAGATCACTTAGACTTAAGGTAATTAAAGTTAAATAAATTTTAAACCTTAATTCCTTGGTCACACTAGCTGTATTTCAAATACTCAGTAATCACATGTAGCTCAGTGGCTACTGTGTTAGAGAGCTCAGATGTAGAACGTTTCTGTCATCACAGAAGATTCAGTCGGACAGTACTGCCTTGAAGGGAATTCCTGGCTCCATATTCCCTTTGGGATGACTTGGACCCTTTGAATTCCAGGCCCCACTTTGGCTTTTATGAGACTTAATTTTATGCCTCTGAGAAAACACGTATGTGACTCACCTCCCTCCTAATTCCAAAGATCCTTCCCCAAAGGGGCATGCTAGGTGTGGTAGTTAGCTAGCGTAGGCTTACACCTAGGATGTGATGGAATGACTTCCGGGCATTTGGAAAGTAGTCCTCTCGATTATACCACAGGAAATCACTGGGGGAATCAGACGGGCTCCCTCAACCTTTCTGTCTCAGCACCCTGTAAAGTACACGGGCTGTTTTCTCTGTTACGTGGGTAAAGCTCCACTCAGGTTCTGTGCCCAGGTTTGCTCTGAACCACTTGACTCTCCAGCAACGACAGTGATGGGTGAAAACACAGCACCAAAGCCCTGACCAGGGTGGTTCACTCGGTTGGTTGGGCATCGTCCCGCAAAGCGGAACGGCACCCGTTTGATTTCCTGTCAGGGCACGTGCCTGGGTTGTGGGTTTGGTCCCCCGTCAGGGTGTGTATGAGAGGCAACTGATCGATGTTTCTCTCTTTCTCCCTCCCTCCCCCTCTCTCTAAAAGTAAATAAATAAAATCTTTAAAAGAAAAAAGAAAACAGTTCCAAAGACAGCTGAGGTTTTTTACTCCACCTCACCCAAGTCCTGCCTGCTGAGGCTGAGTCTGGGAGTCCAGGAGTCACCAGGGGAAGAGCCGCTTGGGGCATTGCACGTTGGTCCAGTTTACCCTATCTGAACCCGAGATCGGACCCGAGATGGTAACTTCCATTCCTTGGGGTAATACCATATCACCTTCCAGCATCCCCAAGAATTGCACCACAAATACCTGTCACAGATATTTGCTGCTTCCTGCCAGTGGCCAGCCTTGGTAGGGTGCTCCTCTTTCCTTGCTTCCCCAGCTCCACGTTAGTGTTCAATGGCAGCACACTGGATAGAGCCTTTCAAGGTCATCTGTGGTCTGATCCCAACCATCCTTCTACTTCTAGTCTCCCTTATCGGAAATCTTCACTCAGTCAGATTAATCTGCTCCCTGTTCCTGGAACCGATCACGTACCACCTACCATTCTGCTTCTGCGTGGACAATATCTGCCTGTTCTCTCCAGCGATCCAGATAATCCCCACACTTCGGAAACGGCTTACATTCCACGTTTTCAAACCAGCTTCTCGATTTCTCTAGTCATCTGTCTTTTGCCCGTTACATCTGTCTGCCTATTACGTCTTATTCCTTAGCTAGATTGTAAAAAGCCGGAGACTTAGGGCTGCATCTTAGGCTTCTGTGTGGCCCACACATTGCTCGGTACTGAGAACAGGTGACTCATTCGGCAGTCACTGAGCAGTTTCTCTCACTTCTGTATATCAGACGGACCTCAGGCCTGCAGGTGCTGAGCGGCCTCTCCTCTCTGACTGGGCAGCACTGGCTGGCAGGCCGAGTCATCAGTCATCGATCTCCTTCCAAGATTTTCATGTCAGGAGGAGACTGACTCTTCCCACAGCATCCCCTCCCTAACTCCTGAGGATGAACAAACCATGACTACTCAGGGGTGCTGGCACTAGGTCTCCACGTCCCCACCTGCTTTCCCTACTCACCTGCAGCCTTGTCCAAGACACAGTAGTCTGGGGAGTTGTCAAAGTAGACGAGGTCAGTCCTGGTGGCACGGCGATAGCCTTGGCGGGCTGCTGTGAAGTTGGCACCGTCTTGTGTGGCTGTCACCTGCACAGCCCCGTCATAGCGCCGCCGTAGGTAGTCACCTGTGCGACGGAAGTCTGAAAGTGCACGCCAGCAGGTGCGCAGAGTACAGGAGCCACTCACGCCGTGGCACTTACACTCCAGCTTCAGAAACCGCCGCACAGCCTGGGAGGGAGGGAGGCAGGCAGGTAAGGGAGAGGCAGCCAGGCAGGGCACTTTAGTCATCCCTTGAACTAAAAACACGAGTGCTCTGAGGTCTGCAGGACCTGGTCTTGGCTGGCCATTGGTCGTTCTTTCCCCCATCAGATCCCACCCATTCTTCCTGATCAAATTCAAGAACCTCTTCTTCCAGGAAGCCTTCTTGGATCTACAATGCTCTTCTTTTCATGATAGGCTGTTTGAACTTTAGGGCCACAGAATTCTGTTGGTGATTACAGTATGCTAGCACATCGAGTATTTTGGAGTTCAAGGTACCATGCCTTCTGCTTCTGTAGCATGTCCTTTTCCAGCATAGGACTGGGCACATGGGAGGTGCTCAGGTACCAGTGGGCTGACTGGAGCAAGCCCTCATCCTCCTCAGTCTTTGTGGAAGTACGCTTTTTCCTGCTTAAAGAGTTATTTCCCTCCTTTTCTCCACCTGTCCCTACTTTCCACTTCATGAAGACTCTATGCATCTGGCTGAACCTAGGCATTCCCAAGCTCCCTTGCATTTACTGGTCCTGTCCAGGGGGTTGGGGCACTTGGAAGGAACCCAGAAGCCCTCAGCACTTCCACCTTCACATCTAGTCCATGAGCACACACCCGGTCACCCCCAGCAAACAGGAGCACACAGGCGTAGCTGTGAATACTGACCGTGCGGCCGCAGCGGTTGTTGTGTAAGTTCATGAGGGCCCGAGCATCCTTAAGCCTCTTCTCCTTGGCGTCCACGAAGGCCTTGGCAAAGCGAACACCATAGTGGATGTTGTCGCTGCAGCCACCCCAGTCAAAGTCCCCACGCTGGTCATGGTGTCTGCCACGGGTATAGGGGTCACAGCTGCACACACTCAGTTCACCCTGGCTGCAGGCACGGGTGATAGCGTGGACCACCCCAGCTGATGAGATGGCATATACAAATGCTGCCTCCCGGCTACCTAGAGAGAGGGGGGTGCAAGTGTGTCTCAGGAAGGTCCCCTTCTTCAGCCCACAGAACCCCCAGCTGAAATTTCTCTTCTCTTTTCTTTCCTAGAGCAGCCCCAGCACGTTCTTTATTTAAATTGCCCCTCCCTTCCTAGATCATTCTCCGGAACAGCTGACCCCTTGCCCTACCCCTCACTACTGTCTGTCTCTTTCTTTGTACAGCTGACTTCCTGGGCTAACCTGTACTCTTGCTTCCTTGCAAACTCCCTGGATCCACCCATGAAAAAGTTTCAGGTGAACTGTCGCCTCCCACGGAGTGCCAACCCTCGCTCAGCTGCGCCTGCCCTCGTCCCCAGTCCACGCCTTTTCAGGCCCACTCTGCTGGACAGTTCCCCAACAGCGGAGACCCCAGCCCAGGGGGGTCAGCCTCTTTGGAGAGATAGGCTACCTTCCCCTGCCTGCTTCCTCCCTTCCCTGCTCTCGAGGACTGATGAATCCTCACTCCTGTCCCTCTGATACTTCTGGTTTCCCATCTCATTCCCTTTCTCCTAGTTTACCGTCGTCTAGCTCTGCTTAGCCCTTTTTTGCTGAGCTGGGGCCAAACCGCAAACTCTCCAAATGTTTACATATCACCTTTCTGTTTATCCCGTGCTCCATCACTGTAGTGTCTGGAGTATCGGAGTGAGGGCAGTGATTGTGGTGATGAGAACCTGGTCCTCAGCCTGGCAGTGCACGGAGACCCACACACTGGGGGTTGGGGAGGGACAGGCAAGGGAAGAAGAAAGAGGGAGGCACTCGGGAATGCTGCTGCTTTGTCCCATCATCCCAGAACACTGGGACTTAGAGGGGCCTCTGGCTGCATATCTAAAGTCCTGAGGCTCTGCTCCCAGCTGTATCCTGGGCTGTGCCCACAACCGTTTCTCTGATTATGAAGTAGTGTATAGGACAGGGAGAGGAGATCACACCTCCCCTATCCACTCAGCACCCCAAGCATAGGACGGGAAGGAGGCGCTGGGTAGGGTGGAAGAGGCCCCTACTTCTGAGCATGACGCGGCCAAAGACAGTGTGGTCCCGGTCCAGGGTGGTGCAGTTCCAGCGGTGGTGGCGGAACTGGTGCTGGCACTCTCGGATCCACTCTCGGGCACCCTCGCCCACCGAGCGCATGATGTCCGGGTAACGCTGGCACAGCTGCCGCTGCCGGCTCACCAGACCCGGGATATTGTCACAGATCACTCGGGTCCCCAGTGCCCCGATGTACCTGCAAGGTGGAGATGGTCTTGTCAGAGCATCTGGGCCCCTTTTCTGCAGCAGGAGAGGACTAAGGAGGGGAAAGTTTTGGCATTCAGACCTTGGAGTGGTTCCTTCCCCTTTCCCAGCCCACATTCCCTGAGGCTGATGGGTAGAACCAGTCCCCACAAGCTCTGGAGAAGTAGTTATATAGTTGCAAAGAGTAATTGAGTGGTCTCCCAGCATCACGAGTTCCCCAGCCAAAGGCCAAAGTGATACACACTCTCAGCACGCAGGCCAGGCTGTGTCACATACACAAAAAGCTGTGGGCATGTCACATTAAACCCATTGCCTGTTTATTTAATAAACATTAAGAGCCTCATGGAAAAATAAACTAACAAAACGAGAGTCTGAGATAACACTCTTACACCCACATGTAAGAGGCATGTCCTGCATGGTTGGTCCGTGAAGACACGGGTTGAGGAAGAAGGATGGAGACAGGGAGGGGCCAGCGAGCAGGGACACAGAGGGCAACTCTGAGTAACGTTTACAGCCCTTGTCAGACCAGTGCAGCTAAATTGCCCATTCCCAACCAGAGGTCTGGGGAGGAAGACCCCACTCCCAGCTCTCCTCCCCTTATGCTGTATTTCCAGGCCTGTGGCCTTTTGTAGCTGATGAGTCTTGATTCTTTCAAACCCTCCTCCCCAGCCTATAGGGCAGGATGTCCTGCATGGGCAGAGGACTATTGCTGTGGGAAGCCCAAGGCCAAGGTGAAGCAAGACAGTGACACTCCCCATATTCCAGTCCCCAGTTTGCCCAATATGAACTATTTTAAGAAGGTCATTGGGTAGGCTACTAAAAGATGGGTGGGTTGCTAAAGTCATTCTCAAATTTCTCCGGGCAATATTTTTTCTTCATTTAAACACTGGACTCCACATTTAGGCCTGGACTCCACCACGAGCCTCGGGAAGACCATTTCACAGAGAAGGCAGGACTGTATCATCACTTTTTCTCCCCACAAGGCCACCAAATGAGATCTGACCCATTCACCCAATTCTCACGCCCCCTTTATCTCTCCAACACCCAGCACCTTCCTGATTTGCTGGGAATTCTCCATTCTCCTGTCCTAACACATCAAGGGACGCCTCCTCGCCCCTTTTCGCAACAGGTGGGGGCCACGGAGGGCAGTAGCTGCCACAGACAGGAAAGATTTTGGTTTGGGCTGTGAATGAGCCTGTGGTTTGGGAAAGAGCCCCATATGGGCCTAGAAGTGGGTGGGGAGAGGGAGGGTGGCCAGTGGGTAATGGGGCAAAGCCGGACTGCCCTGGGCTCTATGTGCCCCTTCCCCCCCATTCCTACGCCCCACCCTCACCCACAGACCGGGTCACCACTGGTGATACCAACTAAAACAAACACGAGGAGGGCTGAAGCTCGCCTCTTCTGGACCTCAGCAGGGCTGATGGGGCCCATCTGTCCCGGGGGAGGGGGAGCGGGCTGAGCCGGCTCTGAGAAATCCCATGGAATCAGCGTCCACAGCACTGTCCATCAGGGCAACAGCTTCCAGGAACAAACAAAATAAACACCCCAGGCTGGGCCAGGCCGGAAAGGGCCTCCTGACGCACAGCCCGGAGTTACACCCACTGCCGCGGTGCTTTGTTTGGAGATTCAAGACCGTTGGAGCTGGAGCCCATCCCTGTCTCACCACCATTCTGCTTCCCCAGTGCAGCCTGAGTACTGCCCTAAGCAATGGGTGTTTGTTTGTTTTTTATTGGGGCTTGGGAAGAGGGGGGTTAGATGGGAATGGGAGACCAGTCATCCAGCCCTCATGAGACAGTCTGGAGTGAGGCAGGCCAAACTCTGGCAAAAAGTCCTTCCTGTGGTCTGACTTAAATCCACTCTGCTGTAGCCCACATTGGTCCTCCTTGTCACATCCTCACTGAGCGTGGGAACATCTGTTCAGTATCTGAGATGGGAAGATAATTAAGTTTCTCCTCCTACCACCCCACTAAGTAGCTACTTCAAGATTCTGTAGAACAGGGTGCTTGTCTGCTGATCAGTGACCCTGAGCCTGAGCCAGGGCCCCAGCCCATTTCCTTCTCAGCTCAACACATGCCCGCAAAATGCCTGCCATGTGCCAGGCACTTAGCCCAGCTGTCAGGGGCACCAAGATGTTTACGGGCTGGTAGTGGTGAGATACCCCTGACTCTAGCTCTCTCTACCCACCCCGAAGTTTTCACTTCCTTCCCAGCTTCCGGCCTCAGAATGATTTTCTTCACCTACTCTGACTATCCCTTCCTTTGACAGAGTGACTCACATCCTACTATCTATCGCTCTAGCCCCTTGCCACTCTAGGTGTGGTCGCCAGAGCAGTATTTGCATCACCTGGGGATCTGCGGGAAGTGCAGAGCCTCAGGCCCCATCCCAGGCCTACCGGATGAGGAGCTGCACTTTCCCGACATCCCCAGCTGATCTGCATGCACTGCTCCGTGAAGGCATGGATTTTTGTCTGTTTTGTTCACTTCAGCATCCCCAGCGCCGAGAACAGTGTGTGGCACACAGTAGGTACTCAATAACTACTTGTTGAATAAACCCTAACCGCTCTGATTTACCCCCAACCCTCTTCTCCCCCTTAGCCAGTCATAAACTTCACTTCAATTACAGCGTCACTCCTTGCGGACATCGCCAGTCTAGCTGCAGATGGTTTATGTTCGTGTCTTGTTAATGAGGCCAGGGAGCCTCTTCTGATTTCCCCTTTTATAGTTCCCTAGGGCACACAGTTCAGGCCAGCCCAACAGGGCTTTGAGCACAGGGATAAAGCCATTACCCTCCCTGAATCTCTTAATACAACATCATTTATATGGTACCTTACAGTTTACAAAACATTTTTCTACACAAAGATCCTGAGAGAGAGGAGAGGGAGGAAGAGAGAGAGAGAGAGGGAGAGAGGGGGAGAGAGATCTCCATGTTACAGGTGAAGAAACTGAGGTTCGGGAAGAATAAGTGATGATACTCAGCTCTATCCATCAGAGCTAGTCAGAGAACCAGGGGAACCAAGGACATCTGACTCCAAAGTCTACATGCATTTTCATTCCAAGGGCAAGAGAGGCTTAACCAGGAGTAGGCCAATCTGACTTCAGAATTGGTTGAACTTGAGTTTCTTGCTCCTCCCTTCCTATCCCTCACTTTCTTCGTATGTGAAATGGGGATGACAGTAGTATCCGCCACACTGGACCACTGGAGGGATTGGAGAAAGTGATGCGCATAAGTGTTTAGCCTTAGTGTCTGGAGCTTAGTGAGGGCCCAGTAAATGGCAGCCACTGTTGGCAACAACGATGTTAATGTTGTTACCCCACTCTGTTCTTCTCCTTTTGTGAATCCATGACTCCGTCTGGCTCTTGCGATGCCCTACAGCCAAGCCCCTGCAGAATGCAGAATGGAGCAGGGAAGCACATGCCAGGAGCCCCTGTTTCTTGTTCTGTCTGTTAAAGACTATGCAGAGACATCATTTCCTCCTCCAGTTATAAAGTGGGAGAGGGAAGGTGTGGCTGGAGAGGAAGGGAAGGGCTGTGAGGAAGAGCAGACTGTGCGCTGGGGAGAGCGTTGACCTGCTCCGGAAGGGAATGTGGACCCACATGTAGTCCACAGCGTCTGCTCGAGAGGTTGTACAGGATGCCACCCTTGCTGGTTTTCTCCCTAAGGGGAAGAGATAATGCCCTTGGGGGCCTGGCCTGCCTGTAGAGGGCAGCTTTCCACTTTATCCCCGAAGGGATGCCCAGGGAGCAGGCACCTGGGCCTGCAGCGGGAGGGCAAGAGGCCAGGAGATGGAAATAGCCTCTGCACTCACTGCCCAGCCTGCCCCGCTGCCGCCTTCCTCAAGTTCACAGGGACCGCTGAGTCCCTGCCTCCCCCGCCTGCCTCCCCAGCTAGCTCTCCCACCCAGGGTGCTTTCCCCCAGATCTTTAATATGAACCACGTGGGGAGGAGGAGTAGAGTGAGAAAGAAAAAGGGAGAGAGACTAGCCAAAGGGACAGAATTCCGACCCGGGAGAACTCCAGATGGGTCTCGGGGAACCACCTCCAGGGTGCTAAAACCACCAGGCTGACTGACACTTCCTCACCTGAGTACCACATGGTCTCCGAGACGCGCTCCCCCCCCCCAACTGGAAAGAAGGAACCGCGAGTCCCTAAAAGCAGGCTGCCATCTGGGATGGATAATGACGTTCACCCTTTCTCTACAGGGCCACTGAAGAGGCATGTCCCCAGCCAGACTGGGCCCTTGAGGGTAAAGGGTGGCTTTGAGCTCCCTCTGAACTTGGAAAGGCTTTTCTCCTCACCCCCTTCTTCCCTTTCCCTTTCTAAAGGAATGTTTCAAGCCAGATGTAAGATATGGGCCTCCCTGCTCCCCCATCCAGAACCCCCCTCCTTGCCTTCCCCAACACTGCAGAGATAAAAAAGATCCAAAAGAGAGATTTTTCTGAAACAGGAAAACGGGGTGGGGGGTGGGGGGGGTGGGGGTGGGGGGGTGGGGGGTGGGGGTGGGGGGTGGGGATGGCGAGCAAGAGACGCATCTTGAAATGATAGGAATCTTCGGCCCAAGCTCGCTGGCCCCTCAGCCAGCTACCCCTCATCCTTTCAGCCAAAATTCCGAGCCCGGAGGAGAAAAGCCGCAGGGCGCGAGGGGAGAGGAGACCACACGCTGAGGTGGCGATAGGGTGGGGGAGGGCTGGAGAGGGGCAGAGGGAAGAGAGGAAGGGGCACTGCGTGGGCAGAGAGGAGCAACGGTGCAGCCCGAGAGGCCACTTGGGGGTGGAGAGGAGAGGTGAGCAGCCTGAGCCCTTTCTCAGGCCACCTCTCCCCGCTGCCCTGCTCCGCAGGAGGAGGAAGGCGAGTGCCACCCAGGCACTGGGCGCAGGGGCCTTGCAGACGTCCAGCCGGTCTGCACTGCTCTGTGGCTCCTCTGCCCTCTGGCGAAGTGTCCGGAGTCTAAGGCCTTGCAGGGAGTCTGCGGACCGGGTCTCGGTGGTCTGGGGCGCCACGAGCCCCTAGTTCTCGGAGGGGACAGAGAGGGTCGTCGGGGCGGGGAAAGGAAGCCGGGAGGGGGATCTCAGAGTTCCAAGTGGCATCCTTAAGACAGGCGCTGGAGACAGATGCCTAAATTACGCAAACCCGAGTGTTTTGCTTTAATCGTGGGAGTTAATGGGGCAGTTGCGGCCTCACCGAAGCCGCGCGGCGTTGCTGGGCTGGCGGACTAGCGAGGCTCTTCCTCCATCGCGCGCCGTCCCCTTCGCCACCTCCCAGGGCGGCGACCGGGGGCGATCACGCGTTCTCGTTGCAAGGCCGCAGATAGGTGACTGCTTTCCGAGTCCGCCCCAGAGAACCTCGGAGGGCAGCTCGTGCCCGGGAAGGACTGAGCTGAAGCACGGACGCAGTACCTGGGGGTCTGGAAAGCCTACGCCACCCGCGTCCTTGTTCCAAATACCCCGCACCCACCTCCTCCGGAGGAGAAGGCGCCCCCCCCCTCCGCGCCATCGCCCTCGCTGCTGCCCGCCCGCGTCCCTCCGCAACTTCGGTGACAGCCCGTCCCGGAACGTGCCTAACTCCGTCGAGGCGCGACCTAGTCTCCGGAGCTGTGGGTGCCGGGACCGGACCGGTGTCTTCCCTCCGGGCGCCTCCGGCCTCTCTGACCCGGAGCCTCACCCTCCCAAACCTGCGAGCCGCACTCACCACCAGGACGTGTCTACGCGGGCCGGCAGCGTCAGCAGCAGCAGCAGCAGCAAGCAGGCAAGACTGAGGCGGGCTGAAGCCCGAGAGCCGTCGGGGGCCGCGGGTCTGGGCGCGGGAGCGGGGACAGGGGCGCGGGAGCGCCGAGGGGGGAGCTGCGCGGCGTCCTCCGCACCGCCCGGCTTCAGCATAGCTCCCCAAAGGCTCCTGCCGCGCGGCCCGGAGGGGCGAGGACGCGGCACCGGCTGGGGGTACTCAGGCTGCTCCTACTCACCCCCCTGGGGGGCCATAGGCTCGCGGTCGGCCGGGGACCTAGGGGCACCTGGGCTCCAGGAGTCGGGGAGCAGGGTCCCGGAGAGGGACGCAGCGAGCTGTGTCTGGAAGCCGACGGCGGCGCTCGCTCGGGGTGCGGTGTCAGGGGGTCGGCGGCGCGGAGTGGGGCTGCGGGTAGAGTGTGCGGACAGCCCCTCCGGCCGCGGGCTCTCATTGGACGGCGCGGGGCGGGGCCGAAGCTGGGGACACGCGGGGCCCTCCAGGCGGCTCCGCCCGCGCAGCCCCGGCCCTCCGCTGCGCCCTAGGTGTGGCGGCCGCCTCCGCCCCTCGACGCCGGGGCACTGCACCGCTCCGCTCCCCCACCTGCTCCGGCGGGGTGCGGTGGGCGCAGCGGCGCCCCACTGCGCCCAGAGCGCCCAGTCCCATCCGACACCGCGCCACCGGGTCCTAGCGCCCTGCATTCGGCAGCCCCAAACTAACGTGGGCGATGGCCGGGAGCGCGGAGCAGGGGCTTGCAGATACTTCCCCCGGTCCGCCAACCTACAGTGACACTGGAGCTGAGCACGGGGGGCGCGCACAGTTCCTCGGGTCCTCTCTCCGTTCCTGCGCTCCCGTGAAAGGGGCACAGTCGGGAAGCGGCGGGAGAATCTCTACTGCCTGTTCAACGGTGCCAGCAGGGCGCCCTGGGCAGCCGGCTTCAGGTAGGGCTTCTGTCCTCTAGGGCTCGTTGCCCCGGTTCCTCCGACCCCCACCCCACCAAAAAACTTTTAGACTTCGCTTCCGTCCGCCTATCCGGCCCTGCTGCTTCCCTCCGGCCTGGGGACCGGTAATCGGTGGCCGAAACAGAGGGGGCACACCTGCGGACCGGATGCGGACTCCCGGCCCGTTACAGCCCGGACTCAGCAGAGCTCCGGCTCCCCCGGCTCTCCCGGTGCCTCGGTCCCCCACCCCCTGGGGCGGGGCTGCGAGTAGGAAAGAATCAGAAACAGCTGGGCGGCTTTGCGGAGCAGAGGCCGGGGTGGGGGTCCGGCAGAAAGAATGGAAGCCCCGGAGCCATTTCTCTCCTTCGCCGTTCCACCCCTGGTCCTCTCCACTGCTAGCGGCCCTCCCTCCCCGCACCGCGCACCGCCTGGGGGCGTGGCGAGTCGGGAAGCGGTGGGAGGTGTTACTGCGGAGAGTGACTCCCCTCGTCTCCCCCAACACACACACACACACACACACACACACACACACACACACTCACTCACTCACTCACTCTCCCTCTCTGTTTCTCTTTACCCTCTCCCCTCCCCTCCCCTCCCCTCCCCCTCCCCTCCCTCCCCAGCCCTGCCGCGCCCGCACTTCCCTGGCTGGCAGGTGGAGCTTCTGGGGGCAGAATGGTCCTTACAAAGATGTAAAAATTCTTCTTAAAACCCTGGGTCTCCAACTTTGGGGGTTCGACTGAAATCTGGCCCCAACCCCTTCTCCAGCCTCAGTTTCTCCCACCTGGCCCCTCGTCCCCGGGTGTCTTTCAGGCCTCTTCCCTCGGTTTATCTAAACTGTAAAGCCCTGGTGTAAACAACACTGTGGAAATCGCCCACCCCACTCAACCCCAAAATCACTGTCAGTTGTTGGTTGGGGGTGTTAGAGACGCGGGAGTGTGAGCGGACAGGGCGCAGCTGGCTGCAGAGATGCCGCAGACATCCCGGAGGCAGCTGGGGGTGAGGGGCTCCCAGGGACCTTTATCCCCTCTTCTCACCTCTTGCTCCTCTACTCCTCACTTTCTGTGTCAGGGGGCGGGGTGCGTTCATGAGTTCAACAAGTATTTATTTCTTCCCACCGTGTGCCAGACCGTGCCAGCACCGAGGATTGCCAGTGAATAAAGCAAAACACAACAATCTCTGCCCTCATGGAGTTTGCCATTTATTGGGAGAAGATAGACAATAAACAGTAAACATCATATGTTAAAACATAGTATGTAAGAAAGCCATAAGTGGGGAAAATAGATTTGTAACTAGGACAATCCAGCAAAGACTCTGTGGAAGCAGAGGTCAGTCCAGGCAGACGGCTGGTGAAGGGCGCCCAAGCTGAGGGAGCGGCCAGCACAGACCTAGGGAGTGGTGGGCTGATGTGCAGAGCTGGCAAGGGGCCCGCCTGCTGGAGCAGAGAAAGGCAGGGTGGAGGAGCAGAGTTCAGGTGGGCAGCAGGGCTGGGCCAGGGGGTGCAGGGGAGAAGGTGCCCACCCTCAGGGGGACGTTGGGAAGTGGAGCTGGACTGCAGTGAGACGGGAGTGGGAGAGGGCTGAACACATGGACCAACTGGCTGACCCTTCCTCTGCCCTCTGTCCTTTTTCTCAGTCTGGGAGGCTCTAGTTGGCCCTCATATTTCTTGAAGAATCGGCAGACTTTATATTGAGCTCTCGTGACAGGGGCAGGTGGGAGAAGAGTGGGCCCAGGCTCATTCCTGGCCCGGCCCCTTCCCTTGGACCACTCTTCCACCTCCTCCCAGCCAGTCCCACCCCGATGCTGGGCAGCAGTCTGCAAGCTCCAGCAGCCTCTCCCAGACTCCCCTGTGTGCTCGGCCTGGGTGTGACTCTGGCCCCGTGTTTATTTCTGCATATGGGCCTGAGGTTGCAGGGTGGGGAGCTGGAGATGATCACATCAGCCCTAATCATGGGTGGACTCACCCACATGGGCCCCAGACTCACTTATGAGGCCCCTTCTTTGGCTTCAGCTGTCTTTATAGTCAAGTGGGACTCCGTCTTGGCACAGCACATAGATGCTCAACTATTAAAGCATGTTGCTGAGCTGGGGGGCGGGGGGGGGGCTGGGCAGAAACATTAGTAGCTTCAAAAGGAAAGTGGGTGAGGGGACAAGACTTCTCCCCAGTGCTCACAGGCTACCTCTGTCCTGGAGTGGACAGCCCAAGATGGGGCTTTATGTCTTCTTCCCCTCCCCTCTGAGCCCGCAGCTCCCCAGGAGTAACCCCAGGCTGTAGGAGCCAGCTGACTGCCGAGCTGTGCTCAACCACTTAACTGGAGAACAAATACAGAGCCAGAGAAGAGGTTTTCTGGGATCTGCCACTTTGGAGCTTCCAATCTTAAAATAAACTTCCAGCCTCAAGGTCTTAGACACTACTGGATTGTTCAGCTCCTCACGCAAGGGCTTGTTGTGAGACTTCCAGGCAGAGGGTCAAGGCCAGAGGCTGGGTTAGTGGCTAGTGCCTGACCTGCTCCTGCCTCCCATCCCTACCCCACTCCACCGTAATGGGGGCCAGGGGAAGAGTCACTGATTTGGGAGTCAAATTCTGGTCCAGAGGGGCCTCCGTGGAGTCATGTAGGCACTCACGGAGCACCTGCTGTGTGCCCAGCACCAGCAGGGGCATCTGAAATGACACTGGAGGCTCGAAAGGGCGTTTTCTTGCAAACACAATAAAGCCATCTGAGGGCGGCGCGCCAGGCTTGGCTGTCGGAGGCTCATGCTGCAGATGTCAGCAGAGACCTGGAAGAGAACCCTGGGCACCGTCTCCCCCAAGGTGGCTGCTGCTGTCCAGCCTCCAGCAGGACAGCTTCCATGCAGCCTGCAGAGCCAGGCCTTGCTCCTTCCTCAAGGTGGCACCCCAGCCTCCTGCCCTCTCACCCAATGCCTCATCTCATACTCTGCTCCCCCGTGGAGCCACTCAGACTAAGATTCATCGTCTTTCATGCTATTCTCAGCTGTATGTGGCTGAGCAATTTTGAACTTCTACTAGCCCTTGGAGGGGAGTGGAGATCAGCTCTAGGAGCTTGGGTGCAGATAAACAGCTCTTACTCCACCAGGCCTGTCCGCCCCAGACCTCCCCCCCTTCCTGCCCTTTTGGCAGTGACCTTCTCTCTTTCCCAGTGGGTGGGAGGTGGTGTGGATGGTAATGAGCAGAGAGAAGGCCGAGAACGAGCTGGGGGGAGGTTTGGATGGGAGTCAAGGAATTCCTGCTCCTGCTGTTTGCACTAGGGGCCCTGAGCTGCCTTTCCTGAGATTTCTTTGCAAACCGAGGCAAGTCTCATTTGAAATGGGGCCAGTTTCACACAGGGATCACTCACCCCACCCCATGCCCAGCCCCTGCCCTATCTCCCCCTTCCCAGCATCCCCATGCAGGTGTCTAGGGAAGAGAGGGGAGCTTGGGAAGAACCCAAGGGATTTTAAGGGGATGGGTGGGGATCTGTATTTTCTACATAGCCTTGATCGGCCTCTCCTTGGTATTTATGAGGTCCCAGGCGAGGCATGGAACATGTCTCAAAGAGGCCAGGCCAAGAGGGCTTTGGAAGGAAGGGGCATCCAGTCCCAAACCAGGGAAGGGGGCTTGGTAGGGCAGGGACCCCCTTTCTCCCAGCCAGTGACCAAACAGGGGTAGACTGTGCCCCAAGGGGCAGAGGGAAAAGGAGGAGAAGGAGGTGGGGGAGAAGGGGAAGGAGGAGGGGCAGCTTGGGAGGTGGGACCAAGGGGGCGGGGCGTGGGGGTCTGGAGCCTTTTAGCACTTTGGCTGTAATCAGGCTGGAGCCAGGCAGTGGGCGGGCTGCCGGCCATCCCGGGCGGGTGGCCCAGGTTCTGTGTGAGGCCAGTGGGTGTGCTGCAGGGATCCTGGGTGGTCACTGGCCAGCCTGACCCCAAGGGATGGTGGTTCCCACTTTGTCTCCAGCTCCCCTCTCCCAGCCTGCATGTATCAAGTAAGCTAAGCATGGAGCTTTCTTTCTCTCCCCACCACCTGTTCTGGGCCCAGAATGATCTGCCTCCAGTGGACCAGAATCTACAGAGCCTGCTATCTGCCTCCCTCCCACTCTGCCGTCCCCAGTTCACTCTGCCTCTGGCTCTCCCCACGTGGCTGCTCTGTGTCTCTCTGGGTCTCAGCTCTGTCATTCTGTGTCTGTTCCTCTCTCTCTGTGTTTATCTCTCCGTCTTCATTTGTCTCTGCGTGTCTGTGCCTGCCTTTCCTCCTGTCTGAATCTGTCTCCTCATCAGTCTCTGTCATTGCCCGTCTCTCAGTGTGTGTCTGTGTCTCTCTCTCCATCCCGCCATCTGCGTGAATCTGTGTGAGTCCGTGTCTCCTTCTTTCACTCTCCCCGTCTGTCCCATCACCTCCTTCTGGCTCTCTCTGGCTTTCTCAGTCTGTGCGTGTGTCTGTGTTCCTCCCTGTGTTTTCCTTGGTGTGCATCCTTCCTTCTTTGGTCCCTGTCTCTCTCGCCCTCTGCCTTACACTCACTTCCCGCACAGTCCCAGCAACACAGTGCAAAGTGCGCTAGCCTGAAAAGAAATCAGAAAACCTCAGTGCCCCTCCCCCCAACTCAGTCAGGCATGATTTGCATGACTCTGCAGGTCACTTGCCATCTCCTGGCCTCAGTT